CCTGGGTTCTGTCTAGGCTTGGAATTGGCTGAGGATTGCTATTTATCAGCTTTTTCCCATCTTTTCTGCAGATCTCCAAAACACTTCCAAATCCTGCCCTTTCCCACATGGTTCCCACTAACATGAGTCAGCTAGGGCAAGCTGCTGGGTGCATTGTGACCCTGCTTATCAGTGGAGACTGCTTTCCAGATGGTTTGCACATTCAGACTGGCTGCTTTACTTCTCAGTACCAGCCGTCAGTTCTGCAGGGTGTGATTTGATGCCAGGAGCAGGGGGAGCTCAAGCTGTGCACAACAGCATGTGCTGGACCAGCTTCAGGCTAGTGCCCATACTCTGTACAGGTCCTGCTTCCTCACTGCTCTGTGCCTCTCCTCCTCAACCCAGAGCAGCTATGGCTACCTCTCAGCCAGACTTCTTCCCATTATGTATGGAGCAAGGGATGAGCTTCCTGACATACCTCACACAGCAACATATAGGGAAATCTGCAGTTGTTACAGGCTGGCCATACCTCTGAAACATCCTCTCAGGCAGCAGAACATAGATGTGTCAACAGAAAATGCCTTCTTCTCAGTCTCTCATTGACCCTTTAATGGCTTATGTGTTTCTGATTCTGTAACCCAATCACTCCCCAGATATATCTCCAATGGTGGGAAAGAGAGGAGGCTCAGAATGTAGACAGGAAGTGGGAGGACAGAGTGTACTTATTTGGGTTCCTGCTCCTTGAACTGTCTGGGCTGATAGCACTGGGGATGCTCTTTCACTGAGTCAAGTCTGGATGGGGAGAGCCCTTGGTGGTCTGCTTTCCCTTGTCTAATAACTTGCTTCAGCAGCAGTCCTCCGAGACAGAGATGCCCCACTGCTCTGAGAAAAAGAGAGAGCCAGAGTTTTGCAACAGAGAGGGAGGATGAGGGAGATGAACCTTAAAGTTACAGGAAGGGAACTTCAGATTAGCCAGTAGGCAAAACCTTCCCATAGTGGGCATAGTGAAATTGTAGAAGAGATTCAGTGAGGAAGCTGTGTACTCTTCATCACTTTTCAGAGGGGTGAGATCAAGTCAGACAACCATCTGTCAGGACTGATGCAGATTTTAGTTGGACTTGCCTAGAGCTGTTGGGATAGACTGGAAGCCCCCTCATAGGCCCTCATTTCTGTGACAGGCTGTGATTAGGCAGAATAATTCAGTCCAAGTTTTCTGACTGAAAACACTTCTGGCTGTGTAACACTTTGCCTCCTTCTATCAGAATGGGCTTGTCTGCATATCAGGGGTAACTGGGACTTCACTGCCAGCTGTGGGCTTGGTGTCCTTAGCAGGACAGAGAAAATGCAACTCAGTCCGTGTCTGTGCAGTAGCCTCTACGTTTTCATGGCTGTGCAGTGCACCCCTGCTTGAGATGCTGCCTGACGATGTTGGCTCTGCTGCATCGTGGGAAGCTCTAGGAAGTGGTCCAGCAGCTCCGAGAGCAACACATAGGTCATATGCAGACAGAACAGCCATGGGTACTCGTATTTGTGCTTGAAAATGTCCAGTCACACAGGGAGCTGGAAGGAATGAGCCTCTGCTAGAGAGACTTGTCTAGGCAGCAAAATAAGAGGTCCTAGACCAAAGACAGGAAGGCAATGTACTCCACTGGCAAGGGAACACCATGTTAACAGATACAATTCTTGCCCAGTCTTCAACACTACTGTGTCTACGCAAAAGCCAGAGGCAGGATTCTGCCCTGTCATCTCCTGAGGGCAACAGAGCCTCAGTTAAGTTACCTTTAAGTTTAGTTCAGATGTCAGCTCCCACACGAACAGCTGCTTGCTTATATTCTTTATTGTGCAGGCTTTTCTGAAGCTTAGAAGGACCTTTCTCCCCCTCTCCTCTTGCCAGGACATCTTCTAGACTGAGACCTGCACTGCAGACCTGCTTTGGGCAGAAGGCAGCCAGGCAGCCCCCCTGTGTCTGTGAGTGCTGTATGCATAGAGCAGTGCAGAGGCGTCAGGGATTGAGCCTGACTGTGGCTTCACGTTGAGCCAACTGGGGCACTATTTGTTGACACACTTAGCAATAGTCTGTCCTGTGTCAAGACAAATGCATTCCTCACTGTCAGATAAAAAGGGGAAGGGAGGAAGATGCAGGCTCCAGGCCAGCTAGGAGTAGCTTTTTGGCAGGCTGAAGTGTTTGAAGAGCAATGAGGGGACCAAAACTTCAGAGCAGAGCCCAAGCATTTATGCTGCCTGGCAGGTTTATTTCCCCATCTGAACTTCAGCTTATCCACCACTGCCTGAATCCCAGCTTCTGGGATCTCTGCTTCCAGTGACAAGCCACAGACATGCACAGGACAGAGCACGCAGGGGGTGAGGGAAATGTGCCCACACAGCTCCATTCAGTTGTCTTGACACTTCCTTTCCCTGACTGCTGCTTCAGACCCTGCCAACAATGGCAGCAGGGCATGGCTGCAGACAGCAACCCCCCTGAGCAGCAGGGGGCGAAGGAAGGAGCCTGAGAGGACAGACTGGGGGGAACAGCTGTGGGAGCAGCCTCTCAAGCAGGTGCCACATTAGGCTTCCTTCCACAGAACTGGACCTTCCTCCTCTTCTGTCATGCAACAAAGCTCTGGTACTTGGCACAACATTGTCAGGAGGCCAAAGCAGCACATCCAGTCCCCCATCAGCCTTTTGGTGTCATTGTGCTTGCCCTCTTGCCAGCTCTCTAGCACAGAGATGGTGCTATTTTGGGTAACACACCTGGCAGCTCTGTGATGCTGCCTAAAGAGCAACAGCCCAGCATCTTCCTTGTGCTGAGCCCTAAATATAAATAAGCTCCAGAGGATGAGACTGAGACATCACTGAGGAAAGAAGCCCTGCAGCTGTCTTCCAGCACTTGGGCTGCAGTGAGAGCAGAAGAGACATGATCCCTCTAGCTCTGTCCTGTCTGCTCCCCACACGCTGGGGGTTCATTCCCTTTTGTTCTGTGTGTTGTGGGCCTGCACATGCTTGTGTGGTGACAGTACTAAACTTGGAAAGGCAGCCTCCCCAGACGGGGGGAAGCTCTCTGCATGGCTTCTTTTTTTTTCTTGTCCTGTTCTTGCTGGAGTTTGACTCTCACATTGTGCATGTTTCAGAGCTGGAGAATGGAGTGTGGTCGCTGGGGCCCAAGCTCTGCTCCATCATGGTGAAACAGGAACAGAACCTGGCTCTAGACCTGCCTGAGTCCCAGCTAGCTGCCAGCTCCATACCAGTGCTGAACCTCAACCCTCTGCAGAGACTGCCAGTCCCCGAGGAGGTGAGCCCATCTAAGATCCATCGGGAACCCAGGCTCTTACACAGCAGCACCCCTGGTGATGTGGACTCATCCATGTGGCTGCAGCGTCCTACTAGGTGATAAAGCCACTAGACAGACAGGAAAAGGTGATACAAAGCCCACATACTACATTATTTGTCATTCTGCTCTTGAAATGGCAGTCAGAGGAGAAGCACACCTGATGCTGGCTAGAACTGTGTTCTGGATTCCTGCAGGCAAGCTACAAGACAGCTCATCCTTCCAGAGAAAATTATGGAAGGAAGGTGTTCTCCAGCACAGGAGGCTTTACAAACTTGGTTAAATACACGCATGTTTCCTTGGCACAAAAGCCACTCTTGGCTTATTTTCATTTTTTGGAGAACAGTGTCAATTAATGTGATGACAGTGACCCCTCTATTCCTGAGTATAGACCCCTGCTCTGCCACTGTCTTTGTCATGGCCTTGGGCTTATCATGTGGCCTCTTACTTCACTCAGCTGCTCACTGGAAATGGAGGTCCTGCTCCAGGTCCTGCTTGCTTTTTCCTATGAAGCAGCAGGAA